AATGCTTTCAAAAGAGTTTTTATTCTCCTGGATATCTGCTTGAATCTGTCTAATGGATTCTATTTCTTTTTTATTTTATTTAAGGAGAAAAAGAAAAAAAGCAGAGAAAGGGTACAAGTTATACAGATTTACAGAAAAAAATAAACAGTAGGAAATCACTAGTTAATGGATTACATTTTGTCATCTCAGAAACAATTGTTCAAGTTACAAAATTAAAGCTTATAAAGTGGACATTCCAACAGTGAGACTGCAAACAGTTCTGTTCAATGATCCAACAAAACTCAGTAATATCATTATCTATCTTATACACTTAAATATACATGCAGTTATATCGTTTAGAGCACTTTCTTTGCCTCTCTTTTGTACAATGACAATTACACATTTTAGGTTTTGTTGCTCCCACAGTTCTTATTACTTTTTTGGAAGAGAGTAGAACCAAATGTGACATAACAGAACAGTCAGTCAAATCAAAAGGGTGGACGTAATAGATAATGTAAAAGCATAATACTAGGTGATCAACAATGGTTACCATAATGCCTCCCGCTATCTCTAATAGAATTGCCTATATCATCAGTTATAATAAAATTGAACAAAACAGTAAAGAACAAAACCAACAAAACCAAAACATTGAGACATTATAGGTCTTCAAAAGTAGATAATAGCCAGAATGGGCGTCATAATGAACCCCACTATCTTCACAGCTGTTGCCTAAACTTTCGAACCTGGTACTATCAAGCAAAACAGAATAGAGGAACATCAGTCAAAACAAGATGGTGAGAGCAATACAGGGCTTTAAATCAAGATAATGGAAAGTCAAAGTGGGTTACTATAATATATCCTGCTATTTTTAAATTTATTTTTTCCTTAATTAAAAGGATAAAAAAGTAAATAATAAAATGGAGATTGAGATAAAAGAGGGCATAACAGCAAATCAGCACAGATCAAAACATAACCATTTAGGCAAAATAGTATTTCACCACAAGATTAATGGATTCTATTTCTTTCATGTGCTAAGAATTCATAGCTTCCAGAATTTCAAGTTCTACTATTTTTTTTAAAAAAATCTGTATCTGCTCTAGAGTCACTAAGCATTGTTTTCATTGTGGACATCATCTCTGTATTTATCTCAGAAACTATTTCTGATTTGATTTTCCTAGATCTTTATTGAATTGCTTTGTTGTTACCACTTTAGAGAGGTCAGGTGGGAGGTTTTCAGATTGTCCCATCTCACTGACTTCTGGGTTTGCCTTTGGTAAACTGGACGTCTAAGGTTGCATCTTGTTTAAGTGTCTTCTCTTTAAGTTTAATTCCTATGGTGATGCTTGTAAATTCCCTGTGGTGACTTTCTTTGTTGCTTGTATTTAGGACACTTAGGTGATGACTACTTCTCTGAGGTGTCTTCCAGGTGTAGCTGAGTTTTGAGTTTGAGTCTGTTGCAAGATTTTACCTCTTCCATTTGTAGAAGATGAGAAGTTACTGCTGGGTTGGCCCAGTCCCTGGATCTTTGTCACTGTGACACAGTGTTTTCTATGACCCCCAGTCAATCTCAGTCTTGGAATACCAAGAAGAATAACTATTTAGAACAGTTATGTCACATTATTGCTAACATGGTACCAATAGCAAACATAACAGCATCAGACACAGCTTGGAAAATTATAAACTAGGTAATCATTAATTTTTCATCTTTAATCATTGAGCTAGATTTGTTTTATATAATAAAATCTAAAACAAACCAGAAAATTATATGCAGTATGTAAGAATTTAATATGGCAATTTTACTCTTTATTTTTAAAATTTGAAGGGGTTAGGAATAAAGTAGAGAAGTGGAAAGGGAGTAAGAAATTAGAGGTAAGGTTGGAGCACAAAGGGGAATCAGGCTAACTTTGGGAACCTGGTACAGAATACTGGACAAAAAAAGAGAAGGAAGAGATAAAAATAACAATAGAACAGAACCACAACCACAAAGAGGCTAGAAACCATGTTCACACTCATAGAAAAACAAGATGAAACAATGCATGAGGGAGAAAAAAGCAGAAGACAAAAACAAAACCACCACCACAACAACAAGAACAAAAAATAAACAAGAGAGAGACAAAATGTCCACTTCTGGATTTCTCTCTACTATCACTGGTTGACAGTGATCCATGACAGAATCCAGATCTGTATTGATTTAGGCCAGAAAACCAAAAGTAGCTTTTTGATGGGATCCTGGATAATCTCTGTGAGTCTGCACTTTCTGGCCAAGACCAGACTCATCCCATCTGCAGCCATCTGCACATGTTCCACAGGCCCAAGAACAGTTGGGAACCACAAGATGGGGCCAGCAGCTGCTCTGGGCCTAAGTTCAGCTGGCCGCTCTCCAAGATGGCTATTGGCCGGTCACTCTCCATTGTGTGGGGCAACTGAGCCCTCAGCAATCACTGCCAGATAGTGCAGTCCTGTACATCAACTGCTTCCCTCCATTACTGTGTCCCTCTGTGGAGGGCTCTGGGGCTGCCAGCAGTCACCGTGTCCACAGGTTTGAGTCCCTCGTCTTACACCGTGGATCCTGTCTCAGGCAGAAGGCACCACCGGGTACCTCCTTCTTTGCTGAAGTTTCTCTCTTCACTCTCTCCATGGGCTTCAGTTCACACTTCAGATCTTTCCTGAGTTCCGGTGACGCACTTCCTCCCTTCTTGCCTTCCTTGCATTCCAGCATCTGGAAGGTGGCTCTCAGTGGACTCCTTCTCTGCTGTTTACCACTTTGCCATCTTGGTGCTTCCTCCCTCAGGTATTTCTGTCTTCAAGTTCTGAAATCTTTTCTTTTGCTTGGTTCACCCTGATGTTCTCATCTGAATTTTTATTTTGATTTACCAAGTTTCTCATTTCCAAAATTTCCTATGATTTCTATCTCTAGTGAAATTTCTATTATCATGAATGTTTTCTCAGTTTTGTTGAAGTGTCTATCTGAAGTCTCTTGCATATCACTGAATTTCCTTGTAATCATTCTTTTGAATTCTTTATGATGCATTTTTATCTATGTTATCTCTTTTGGGGATCACAGTTAAAGAGCTGTTATATTCCTCTGAAGATGTCATTGGACTTTCCTTTTTGTATTGCTTGTGCATACATTGATATCTGCACACCTGGAAGATCAGTTCTTTGTACCAATTTTGTAATGTGACTTTTGAAGAAGGCTCTTATGGCTCCAGTTAGGAGCCAAGTGTAGATTTTCCAGTTTCTTCAGCTGTAGATAATGACCTTGGATACAAGCTTTAGAAGAGTTCAGTGTCTTCAAGGGATATGCAGAGGTGACTAAGCTCAGCATCCCAGAGGGACACAATACACATAAAGAGATATTGGGTGTATAGGAGCTGGCTGGGGGGAAGGCAGTTCTGGTGGGGGAGCATACACAACAAATCTCAGTCCCAGTGACGGTGTGTCTCTAAGGCAAGTGGCCACAAAGGGGCAACAGGGGAGGTGAAGCCCCAGTTCTCAGCAGTGGCCTAAGCTTAAGTTTAAAAGGTGAATCAAAGTTTAAGAAGAGATAAGATTAGGGAACCAGCCCTACCTATCAATTGGTAGTAAGAAAAGCTTAAAAAATGACACTTTAATGCAAATAAAAATGGCCACATTAGAAAGATAACTTGGCATATGTTAATTAATTTGTCATAATCATTTCACAGTGTGTATAGTGAAAACACCAAATAGTACACCTTTAATATATAGTTTTCTGTTTTTGAAAAATTGTAATGGATATGTGGAAATTGTACATATTTATAGGGTACCCTGTGATGTTTCAATATATGTGTGTATTTCATAATGCTTGAAACAATGTTATAAATTTTTGTCAGTTATATCTCAATAAAGCTGGAAGAATAGAATTTCTAAAAAAGAGTATTTACAAATGTCATGAAATCTATAGCACTGTTTTGAACATATATAAAATAATTTAGTTCTAATTTAACTGCCATTTTGTTATGTTTTATTTTCCTTATCAGATTATGAATTCTTAGACCATAGGAAAGATGTCTATTATACTTTAGTCATAGCTCCTGTTACCAGAGACCTGATCAGGTTAAGTGTATTAATCAGGGTCAAAACAGAAACAAAGCAGATTTATTGTAAGGAGATGATCTTGTACAAATGAGTATGCTATTTAAGCAGTTTCTGTGAGGTTGTTTGCTCCCTTCTAATGCTGCAGACTGAAGCAAGGCCCTGGGAATGCAAAATGAATTTCCAGCAGGGGAGAGAATAGGCCAAGGCCCCCTGGATCTGAAGATAACTGAGGATCAGTTCGTGTTGACTTTGGCTTAGGAGATTGGGGTGCTCCCAGTTTCTTCCATTACAGAACTGAATCCACAGTCTTGGTCAGAATGACAGAAAATGAGATCAACACAACACTAGGCAACCCAAGCACTATCTCTGTCCAGTTGGGGTGTCGCAAAAGTGGCCACCACTTCAACTCTGCCTCCAAATCTCTCATAAAAATCTCTTTTGGGGCCTCCCCTCACTGCAAATGTGAAAGGAAGGACATTGTAGGAAATGCTCTTCCTAGGTGAGCTGCGATCTCACAAAACCACTGGAGTAAGTTCTGAAGATCAGTTAGAGTAATTTTAAATTTAAAAACATAGGGAAAGATTTGTAGTAAAGAAAATACACTTGATGAAAACATTCATACTCAGATTTGTAGGCTAGTCACAGAGGTCAGTTTAACTCATAGCAAAGCTATGCCAAATATTTTTTAAAAGAACTCCATATTTGGAAAAGAGAAAATTTCAGTTAAAATAAACATGAGGAAAGAAACTGTTGCAATAGGGAGACCATTTCAATAAGGAGATTATGAGATTACACCATATTCAAAGAACTGAAAGATAGGAAAGAATAGATAGTGGTTATATAAGGAGGAACAAGTTGATAGATAGGCTTCCTATTGGAGAGTCTCTTTCATGCTGGTTCTGGCCCATGCTGAGGTAATGCTTCAAAGTTCAGTTGATGTTAACTTTGGTCAAGTTGACTGACAAAGCTTTGTTCTGATGAGTTATTGTATTGAACCATTTAGTTATTAATTTATGAAGGCTAGGATAGTAGTGTGGATAGCATGTCAGAGAGCACCCTGAGCTCAGCAAATTCCTGGTAAGGGTCTTTAAGGAGGAATTGCGTGCTGACTCAGGCTGAGTGGAAATAGAATTGTCCAAAGTCTAGTTAATAAGTGTTTTCTTTGGGGCTGGGGATTTAGCTCAGCAGCATAAGCGCCTGCCTTGCAAACAGGCAGTTGTGAGTTTGATCCCTGCTACAGATAAAGAGGAAAAAGACAAAAAAAAAAGTAAGTGTTTTCTTCTCATTTATCATTGGAAATTGAGCATTTACCTTTTAATTATGAGGCAAATAAAATTCATGTTAACCCTTGTCCTTGGTAAAAAAGGAGAACACCTGTAGTCTTAAGCCATGGTGGGGGGGGAAGCTGGGTCTTGCAGCAAGCCTTTTCCAGGACATAAAGAGTGGGGGAGGAATTTCATTGACCATTACAGTTTTGATGGATTGCAGAATGTGGGTAAAATTAAACATTTACAGTTCCTCAAACCATTACATTTCTTAAAATGCCTTTTAACCTTGATCTTTTGGCCTGCCTCAAGAATCAGCTCTGTAAATGTTCTTTAACATGGATTTGAAGGGTATTGTTGAAGACTTTTTTCTGCCATATCAATGATTCCTGATTACGGTTTCACAGGGTAAATCATCTGCACGTGTTAGAGATACTGTGGAGACCTCCCATGCAGTACCACGAGAATGTAAAGTAATGCAGCAACCTTAGAAGAAAGCTAAATAGTTTCTCAAGTTAAGCATACACATCACGCAGCTCTGGAAATGCACTCCAACAGAAATAAAAACATATGTCTGCACAAAGACTTGTACACTCATAATAATAGCAATAGTGTTTATAATCACATAAAACTAGAAACAGCCCAAGTGGCCTTCAACAGATTCACAGGTAAATATACTCAGCCATTGCATTAAAAATTATTTAGTAATATGATGTCATGAAATCTTATGGGAATACACCTACAAGGGAGATAACTGAGCTGAATGAAATTTCTAATTTTAGTTACTCCAGAAATTTCATACTGATTTCCATAGTTGTAGTATTTTGCACTGCCACAAACAAGGTAGAAAAGTTCTTATTCCTCAGATCCTCATCAGCATTTGAAGTTATTTGATTTCTTGAGCCACTCTTTCTAGAGTAAGATGGAATTTCAGTGTTGTAATTTGCATTTCTGTAATGACTAGAGATGCTAAAAATGGTTTTTCTTGCATTTGTTGGTCACTTGTACTTATCCTTCCGAGAAATCCATATTAATTTTAGTTACCCATCTTTTCACTGTTTTTTTTTTATTTTGGGGAGTGTAATTGTTTAATTCTTTATGTATTTTAAATATTAATTCTCTGTCCAAAGACTACCTGGTAAATTTTTTCCCATCCTGTAGGTTTTCCTTTACTCAGTTGATTATTTATTCACTGTTTGCTTTCTTTGCTGTACAGAAAAGCCTTAATTTGATATGCTCGATTTGTTGATTTTTGATAATATATCTTATACAATTGAGATTTTGTTCAAGAATTATTTTGTTTACCAATGACAGTGTCTTCCTGAGTTTTATTTTATCTGCCATAAGATTAAATCTTTCTGCTTTAACATGTAGATCTTGATTCAGCTTTATTTTACTTTAGTAGATGTGAGTGATGTGGGCCTATATCCAATATTCTGCCCATAGAAAGCCAGTTTTCCCAGCACCATTTGTTAAAGGTTATCTTTCTTCTAGCATACGTTTTTGGCCCCTTTGTACCTGCTGTTGTTTCAACATTCTCTCTTCTGAATTATATACCATGCTGCTTCTATCACTGTAGTTTTGTAACATAACTTGAAAATTGGGATTTAGATGCTTTCTTCTTTGCTCTTGTTGCCCAGGATCGCCTTTGCTATTCTGGATCTCTTCTGGTTCCATACAAATTTTAGGGTGGTTTTTCCTAGTCCTATGAAAAACAATGTTGGTACTTTGATTGGGGTTACATTAAATCTATACATCAGTTTTGGTAATATGTACACTTTAACAGTACTGGTTTTGTCTATTCAGGATCAGAGGTTATCTACCATTTTCAGATGTCTTCCCCAATCTCTTTTCTAAGAATATTAAGATTTGCTTGATAGAAATTTTTAGGTTAATTCTTAGATATTTAATTTTTCTTGATGCTACTGTGAATGGTATTGCTTATCTAATTTCTTTTTCAATAGGTTCTTTATTGGTGTACAAGAATGCTATTAAATTTCCTGTGTTGACTTTGTATCCTGCTATTGCTAGATTTGATTATTAGTTCTAGCAATTTTTCTTAGAATTTTTGGGGTCCTTTCTATGTAAAGTATTGTATCATTTATAAAAAATGATATTTTTATTCTTTCTTTTATATGTTTTTATTACTTTCTCATGCTTGATTGTTCCAGGTAATATTTTTAGAACTATATTGAACAAAATTAGTGATGGTGGACATCCTTAAAGAAAAGGAAAAGCTCCTGTTTTTTAAAGGAAAAGCTTTCAGTTTTTCCCCCTTCATGTTTGTGATAGGTTTGTCACAAATGGTTTTTGTCATATGAAGATTCTTTAATACCTATTTTCTTCAAGTTGTTTGCTATGAGTTTATGAGTGCTATGAGTGTGTGTTGGATTTTGTCAAGGTCTTTTTCTTGCATCTATGAAGACAATTTAATTTTTGTTCCATATTCTGTTAGTGATATATTTCTTGATTTATATATATTAATCCCTCCTTGAATTCCTATGGTGAAGCTTATTAGGTCATGATTTTTTAAAGGATGCATTTCTGATGTCCTTTTGAGGGTTTCTGCATCTATATTTATTAAAGGGATTGGCCTGTAGTTTTCTTTTTTAGTTGGGTCCTTGTCTGGTTATGAAATCAAACCAATGCTACCTTCCAAGAATGAGCATATTTCTTCCATCTCAAATTCATTAATGAGTTTGAGAAGTAGTGGCATGAAATCTTCCCTGAAATTCTTAAAGAATACACTAGTGAATTCACTGAGCCCTGAACTATTCTTGGTAGGATTTTTTAAAATAACTGCCTCAATTTCATTGCCTGTTATATATTTGTTGAGAGTTTTATATCCTCTTACTTTAGTCTTGTTAATTAATATGTGTCTTGGAATCTATTTTTCTTCTTGTTCTTCAATTTATTGGAGCACAGGTTTTTTAACATAGCTATTAATAATATTTTGGATTTTGATTATGTCAATTGCAATTTTAATTTTTAAATTTCTAATGCTTTGGTATGGATCTTGTCTCTCCTTTTGTTAAGTTTGGATGTGAATTTATCTATTTTGTTTATTCTTTTGAAGAAACATGACTTTGATACATTGTATTTCTTAAGTCTCAATTTCATTAATTTTTTTCTCAACAAAATCAAATCCCCCAAATTTAAAGACCCGATCAAAAAATGGGGATCTGAGATGAATACATATTTCTCAACTGAAAAAGTAGAAATGGAAAATAATATATGGAAAAATGTTCAGCATTACTGGTCTTTTGAGTGATGCAAATTAAAACAGTGCTGACATTCCACTCCAGAAACAATGGCTATCATTAAGAAATCAATCAATAACAAATGTTTGAGGAGCTGTGTGAAAAAAGAAATACTTCTCCATTGTTGGTGAGAATGTAGACTGGTGCAACTACTGAAGAAATCAGTGTGCAAACTCTTCAAAAACTAGGATTGGAGGTTTCATTTGACATGACTATTCCCCTCCTGGGCATCTTCCCAAAAGAATTAAAAGCATCATATTACAGTGGTATATGTGCATCCATGTTTATAGCAGCACAGTTTGTAATAGATAAATATGGGAAAGAGCTAAATCCCCATCAACAGATGAATGGATGAAGAAGATGATTTTTTAAATACAATGGACTATTACTCTGCCATATTAAAGGATAAACTTGAGACATTTCTAGGCAAATGAATGCTCTTTGAGAATATACTCAAGTGAAATAAATAGGACATATGTGTAAATATTGCATTGTTTCTCTGGTACAAGAAACCAAAAGGGTAAATATGAATCAAAGTATATAACAGATTTTGTGAAATAGGAAGAAGATGTTCAAATGGGAAGATAAACAAGGGAGGGGACAGGATAGAAAAGAATAGAAGGAGAAAATGGAAACAAAGCTTTTGTAAATAAGGGAGGGGAAAAGAGTTGAAGGGAAAGAAATGGGAGAAAAAAAGAAGCAAGACGTATCATGTACAGGTACAAACTTCCTATGATGAATGTGATCCTTATGTGTATCTGAAATGTACCAGTAAGATATACAAGAAACTAATAAACAAGAAAAGAATCAAAGCATCTTAAGATGGAATCTTAAAAGGCCACACATCATTTAATATGAGTATTCCCTTCACAGATGAGGAATTACTCTGGTTCTATGACTTGCCCAGCCCCAAAAGAAAGTGGACATTTGAATTTTAACCATTCATACTGCAAGCTGTGTGATGTATCCTCTACTAATGACTGATGACAGGGAGTTCAAGGAGTGTGAGTGAAGAAGCAGTGGTCTTGGGAATTGTGGGAAAATTTTGCATAATGGAAGCTATATCCAGGCAAGGAGACTGTAGCAGAGAACTGTCAGAAGCTTCTTAGGAAATGCATAAAGGCTAATTCAAAGATAAAATACAGGATTTCTACCGATTTTCTGTTCCAGTGTAGGCAGAAACTTCATGAACAAGCCCAAATCCCAGGGGAAATACTTCAAAGAATCAACAGCTAGAACCTCATCTTATTTAAAAAGCTTTGCACAACAAAAAAAATTACCAATCCAGTGAAAAGAAAACCCACAGAATGCAAAAAAAATTTTTATCTAGTTGTCCCTCAAACAAAGGACTTATATTTAGAAAACATAAAAAATTGATGTAATTAAATACTCCGAATTCAAGGACCCAATTCAGAAATGGGCATCTGAGAGGAATACACCCTTCTCAGACAAAGAAATGAAAGCAGCAAATAAATACATGAAAAACCATTCAACATCACTGGTCATTCAAGAGATGCAAATTAAACAACACTGAGATTCCACCTCAACCCAGAAAAAAAAAATGGCTGTCATCAAAATTTCAAATGCTGGAGGGGAAAAATGAGCCCTTTTCCACTATAGATGAGTGTAGACTGGTACAAACACTGTGGAAATCAGTATGTAGATTCCTCAAAAAGCCAGGATTAGAGGTCCTATTTGACCTAGCCCTTCCATTTCTGTGCATCTTCCTGGAAGAATTAAAA